GCCTTAACAATCTGTGTGTGTGTGTGTGTGTGTGTGTGTGCGTGAGAGAGAGAGAGAGAGAGAAAGAGGGAGAGAGAGAGAAAACGAACTATACCGTATTTTACGGAGTATAAGATGCACCTTTCTCCCCCCTAGAAGTGGGTGAAAGTTTAGGTGCGTCTTAAAGACTGAATAACTCCCCAACCCTCCACGTGTCGTTTTTTTGCCCTCCCCAAAGCATTCTGCAGTGCTTAGTATGGGCCATTTTTGCCGTTGCCTATAAATAGTTCTGCGTATGCGCAGAACACTTAAAAAGGTCAAAAAAAGATGTCACGGTGACCGGGGAACCGGTTTGGGGGGGGCGGGCGTGGTGAGCATGCCGTCCCTACCAGTTTGGAGACCCAGTCGCCATTTCCGCTACTGGTTCCATTGAACCGGTGCGAACCGGTAGGAACCCACTTCTAGTTCACACAGGTTCGGGCGATCCTCTAGTTAGATTTGTGCCCATTTTGATGAACCCGTAAATGCCACCCCTGGCTGGCCATGCCCACCCCTCCCTGTAGTCTCTACGTGGCATGTTAATCATGCCAAGTAAGTGCAGGGCCTGCGCAGAGGCTCAGGGAGGGGGGAAACGGGCCTACTGGAGGTTCCGGAAATCTGGAATCAGGCTTCCAGAAGCTGGGGAGGGTGAAAAACACTTCCCCCCCCGCCATGATACAGGAGGCCAACTAGGCAGCAATGGGACAGCACTCGCTGCAATTTTTGAAGCCCACCCCTGGAACAGGGGTCCCCAACCCCTCGGTCCGTGGACTGGCATTGAGCCAGTGCTTTGGAGAACACTGCTATCATGTCTCCCCTAGTCCTTCTTTTCATTAAACTAGCCATGCCCAGTTCCTGCAACTGTTCTTCATCTGTTTTAGCCTCCAGTCCCCTAACGTTGTCGTCGGCTAACGTGGCTTTTCTCTTTTGTTTCTCTCCTTCTCCAGGGCCTTTTTTTAAAACACTGGGGTTGCCGGCGCGGTCCAATTTTTCCTGGAGTGGAGTGCGAAATTCAGAAGACTGAAGCCCAGGCTGACTGTCTACCTTTCACGGAGGCCGAGCCGTGAGAGGACGGAAGAAGGCACCTGGCGCATCATGACAGCGGACAAAGAGAAGGACAAAGAGAAAGAGAAGGACAGGGATCGGGACAAACGGGACAAGGGGCGGGAGACCGAGAACTCGCGGCCCCGCCGGAGCTGCACCCTGGAAGGCGGCGCCAAGAACTACGCCGAGAGCGACCACAGCGAAGACGAGGACAATGACAACAACAGCGCCACCACCGAGGAGTCCACCAAGAAGAACAAGAAGAAGCCGCCGAAGAAGAAGTCGCGCTATGAGAGGACCGACAACGGGGAGATCACCTCCTTCATCACCGAGGACGATGTCGTCTACCGGCCCGGAGGTGAGAGAGAGAGAGCCTCGGCTCATAGCACATTTTGTTTGTCTGTGTGCCTGTGTGTGTATATGTGAGTCCCCAAGCCAAGGAGCTCACAACTTCTTATACTCTCAAAGGTGCTTTTTCAAAAGGCAACTGGACTGTTTCTTCCTTTGAAGAAGAAGAGGTTTCACTTCTCATACAAGAAGTTTCATCGGTTCTGGCAAAATGAAGAACCGATGAAGATTTCTGGATGAGGAGCAAAATTCTTATTCCGTTTCCTCCTTCTCCTTCTCCTTCTCCTTCTTGTTGTTGTTGTTGTTCTCCTTCTCCTCCTCCTCCTCCTATTTCTTCTCCTCCTCCCTCTCTTTCCTATTTCTCCTTCTCCTCCTCCTTTCCTCCCTCCCTTCTTACTGTTCTTCATTCTTCCTGTTCTTCCTCCTCGTCCTCTTTTTCCTACTCTTGCTCTTCTTCCTCCTCTCTTGTTTTTCCTCCTCCTCTTCAAAAGAACAGTCCACTTGCCTTTTGGAAAAGTACCTTAGAGACAACCACCACCTGGGTGACTGAGAATCTCCACAGGCACTTGTTCTACAAGTAGTAGACTTACAACAGTTCATTTAGTGACCATTCAAGGTCAGAACGGCATTGAAAGAAAGTGACTTATGACCTTTTTTTCACACTCGCAACCATTGCCTCATCCCCATGGTCACATGATTTGGCAACTCATGTTTATGCCGGTCGGGGGTGGAGGGGGAGGAGATGGTGGTCATGCGATCCTCTTGTGACAACCAAAACCAATGGGGAAATGACTGCCGGACTCACTTAACAACTGCAGTGGTTTGGTTAAAAGCCGTGGGAGAAAAAAGCTGTCAAACCAAGCGCATCTCACTTAACCGCGTCCGCCATAGCGTAGCCGCAAGGCCTACTGTATATTCGGCACAGACTACTGAAATTGGAGCATGAGCATGCCCACCGGAGCGCTGGAATTTGGAAGAAAACAGCCGGCCGGTATGCATGCGCGCGCCGGCCAGGTGCCATCACGGGTATGGTGCAATATTAATGCAAGTATCAAGGGGTTTTCAATTCCGTTGTGTAGAATGTGGAGGATGTGTACTTTTGTTTCATTTTTATAGGTTTCTTATGTATGATGTGCGCTGAAGATGGCATTTCATTCCGTGGTACAAGGTGCCATGACAATAAAGTAAACTCAACCAAGCCAAGAACTGTTTGTAGCTTTTCAGGCTGGCATGCTGATCCGTACCTGAAGGCAAGCTAACCATGAATGGCGGTCAGCCTCTTAAGTGTGGCTAAGAGAGTAGAGTGGGCGATACACTTGAATCACCACCCATGCTGTTGTATCGTTGTGATTTTTAAGTGGCGCTTCAGTCGTAGAAGGTGCTCCCGAGATCCGTTCGCCAGGCCAGAACTAAAATGTGGCTTTTTGCAGGAAACGTTAGGTTGATATTTTAATAGCATTTCCAGAGTAATCGGTTGAATTTTTTAAAATTATTATTATTTCTGCGTTGAGAGGTGCGGGCGATATGTCTTGCCAGGATTATTTGCCGTTTCCTTCCCTGCTGGCTGCTTTTGGGTTTAGTTCTGATCAAGAAATAGATATGAAAAGTTCTCGGCTGACACCGGCAGCCAAGCGTGTGGCTGTTTACATGCCTCAGTACATACATATCAATCTGGCTCTTCCCTTCTGGGACGAGCGGCATCACGCGAAGAGGCAGAGAGTAAGACGTTGCAAGGAAAGGAAAGCAAGAGGGTTAGAAAAGAGAGACAGAAAATCTCACACAAGTGAATTTATGCCGGTGCTCTTCCCTTCTCTCTCTCCCTTTATCTTTGCTTCCATCTCTTGTGGCCCACAAGCGGCCAGGGGAGCTGGCGGCAGACTCGGACAGTGAGGAGGTTGGGGAGGAACATGGGCCGGTCCTGGAGTCTGGAGAAGGCTCTGAGGAGGGCTCTGTGTCAGAGGCAGAGAGGGGGCCGGGGCCGTCTGACAGTTATCAGAGCTGCCTTCAGAATCAGACATCAGTGAGGCAAAAGAACAGCTGGAGCCTGTTCCCAGTGTGCGCATGCGCAGAGCTGCCAGGAGAAAGAAACAGTTAAGGAACAAGAGCTGATTCGGGAGTAAAGCCACAGGTAGACTGTGAATGGCCCCTCCCAGAGGGAATAAAAGAGGAGCGAAAGGGGAGTGGAGTTTGCAGGAGGGAATTAGTTCAATTAATTTGGGTGAAGATCTGTTCCTGACTTCTTGCCAAGTAATTGCTGCTAAAGCTTGGCGTTTGGAAGATATCGGCCTGGCAGCTCTCCAAGCCTGATAAAAGGTCTGTCATTGTGAAATCTCTTTGAAAGACTGTTGGCCGGGACTTTGCTGGAGAGGAATTCCCTTTAAGCTTAATAAAAAGAGGTTTTATCGGGACGAGGAGTTGGCTTCATGATCTTGGGAAGCCTCGGTCAGAACACCATCCTGCCCCTTTCACTGATCATCAAAGCCATAAGTTCTCTACTTGCAACCATTCCTCTAGTGACCATTTCAAGTTAGAAGGGCAATGGGGGGAAAAAGGGATTTATGACCATTTTTCACACTTAGGACTTTTGCAGCATCCCCACAGTCCCTTGATCAAAATCCCGACACTTCGCAACTGGCATGTGTTCGTGACGGTCGCGGGGTCCCATGGTTGCCGCAACCTGGGCCAGGTTTCTAGTCCTCAACCTTGCAAAGAGGAAAAAAAAAACCCTCAAAATCCAAAAAATACCTAGCCATCAATCAGGTTTCTAAATCCTCAAGATGGCAAAAAAGTATGAACTAATAATACTCAAGTTTTATTTGTTTCGATGAGTTGGGGGGGGACCAGAAGGATTGTTCAGGGGGCGAAAACACTGCAGAGTTCTCCTTCTCAGGGTCACGATCCCCGTGAGAACGACAAGGAGCTGTTTGTGTTCTCAGCAGCGTTGCCGTAATCACTTTCCAATCGACTGGCGAGCGGTTTGCTTTTGTTGGCATGAAGGAGGAAGCTGACCTCCACGGGGAAGAGAGAGGGAGGTGGGCTGCAAGCATAGCCTGTGTTTGTCGGAAAGGGGAATAGCCTGCCTTGCAGAGTGACAGGTGCCTGAAGCAAGCCAGACGTTCTCGTTCTCCCCGTGTTCTTGTGTGGGTTGCCTTTCATGGATCTTGTGTTATCCTTGCAGCTACAGGCCTTGTTTTAACTTCACAAGAGGCCTGGGGATGTCTCCCTCTCTTGTTCTCCCGTATGTTTTAAACTTTGCTAGCCTCTTTTATGTGCTTGAATAGAAAAAACAGACCATTGGGTGTATAATGGCTTGATTGAGACGTGGCAAAAAGACCTTAGTGCAGTGCTGTTGGATCAAACGTTATCTCTAAATAGCTCTGCTTGTTCTGCCTCGATTAAGATCCTTCTGACTTCCCACAATCTGCCCCATCACCAGGTGTAAAAAAGAGGATGAATTGGCTCCCGTGTTGAGCGGAGGTACATTCGTTCCTTCTCTGATTCACAGTGGCATTTAAAATGACCGGCTGTTGTCTCTGCACGCAGGCGGAGTGTCCCAGTGGCCAATCAGAAACACAGATATGATCACATGTCATGGAACTACACTTCCCATAAGGCAGTCTCTGCCTACATTTCCCGGGAGGTAGTTTCTTAAAGGAGACATCTCTTAATGTAGACTAGAAGACCTCTAAGGTCCTTTCGAGCTCTGTTATTCTGATTGGTTGATTTGGAAAAAGAGCATCCCAGAGAAGGGGGATGTTCAGTTTGGTTAGTCTCTCTGCCTTTGCTAAAGATATACCGTGTTTCTCCAAAAAGAAAGCCGGGTCTTATTTTCTTTTGAACACCCCCCCCCCAAAAAAAACCAACTAGGTCTTCTTTTTGGAGGGTTCTTAATTATTGACTCACCTACTGTTGGTGGCAACAACAGTCCCGGCCAGCAGGAGCCCTCCGGATCGATCCAGAGTGCTGTTATCGGCTGCAGATGCCTTCCAGCAGGCATCTCAAGTCGAAACGGAGGCCAGGACTATGCGTGCGAGTGGTGCCCAGTGGCCGCAGAAGGAGGCAAGGCAGGAGTCGGGGTGTGCGAGGTGCCCTCACACACTCCGGAAGATGCTCTAATTAATTCATGAGCCCTGAGCCAAGTTTCAAAAGAACTCCAGTTCATTTATTAGGAACACCATTTCGGCAATAACCCACTGCGGTCAGATCTGACCTCATTTTAACTATGGCTGAACTTTACCTCTGTTTCCTTCCTCCCCTCGGTCTGTGCCATAAATCCTCACCCTGGCAACTTTATGAGTTGACAGAAGGCCTGGTAAGAAGGGCAGCTTCATCCCCCCCCCCCCACACACACATCCTCACCCTTGCTTATTTTTTTTACCTGTGTGCCTCGCCCTGCCCCCTGTACCCTGGGATGGGTGGTGTCTTAATTAGGGCTAATTTTCTGGTTGGGGCTTAATTTGATTGCATGCGCTCAAAACGTGATAGGGCTTCTTTTCAAGGTGCTCGTCTTTTTGGAGAAACCCCGTGTGTGCGGTCGTGCGCTTGTCTGGCTGCTTAGCGAAATTTAGCTGCTCTGCTCGCAGGGCTGCTGTGTCCTTTGCTTGTCCTTGTTTTGGATTTCGCTGATGGTTGATAAATCAAATCTACGGGACTTGCTGCTCACCTCAGTGTTGCCAAGGATCCTCTGCTCCCCACCTCCTCCGTTACCACCGTAACCCCACATCATCACAACTTCCTGGTGGTTTTTTACTTGTTGTCTTCCTTGCAAACTCCAGACTCGGGTCTGGTCCAGGCGGAGGGAAGAGCAACATCCACAGAGTGCCGTTAAAGGCAGCGGGTCGCCTTCCGGAGTGCGTCTAGTCAAGGCGATGGTTTTCCCAGTTGCAGTGGATGGCTGTGAAGGTTGGACCCACAAGGAAGGCCAAAGAATGGAGGCCTTTGAACTCTGGTGCTGGAGAAGAAGACTCCTGCATTGAGTCCCTTGGAC